CGTGATGCATATTTATATTACAGTAATAAAGTTTGTTTGTGGTGGTCTATGTTTGGAGGCTTCCCATATGATTCACTCTGCACCGTTTCACCCCGTGATTAGTTAGTTAATCGAAGTCCGTTGCAAACCACATAAACAACCTGCTTGCATAGATAAATTGTTGCAGAAAAGCACAACTTAAAGCCTTCATCTTCTGAGAAAGGAAATCTATGAATTTGAAATGTTAAAAATTGAGCTTAAAAATATTTATTTCTAACTTGGAAAACTATTTTTTTATGGTGATGTATAACTTGAGTACATGAAGTGAAAATAATTGTTAACATACTTGAAAATTTGAATTTATTTGTTTCATTGAAAGAGGTATTGAAGTGAGATTGTTCATGAAGATTTTTGTGAGTGTGTCTATAACCGCATAAGGCACTTCAATATTTTCCACTGAAAAATCATGCAACCATTTCTGGACTAGTCTATGATAAGCATAAAATATCTATTACAGTGAAAATGAGAGCATATAACAAATAAAATAATAATAATGTGAAGAAAAAATTTACCGTCTGTCTTCATTTGTTTCACAAAAGTTAATCAAGAGACGAAGACACTTTACTTCATGAAGATCCACAATGTCTGTTCTACCATCACAAGAATCAAAAAATATTGCAGCTTCATCCTCTAGAACAGATATCTGATTCGAGTACGAAATGTTCAACAACTTACAACAAAACTCAAATAAAATTTTATTAACCAGCAACTTTTGTGTCTCTTCGCCATCTGTTCCAACAATAAACTTGTTATAATCTATATTTCTTTTCTTCATCAGCAAAAAGTGAGAAAAAACTAACTCTAGTTCATCAGCTCTGAATTGAAACAATATTATTATTTTGAATCTAACTAAAAATTACTAAAATCATTTGCATCATAAGCGGGAGGAGTTATTTTTAAATACTTGATTTTTAATGCTATTTTATGGCGGATGTTAAAATATTTAGTAACTTGTGGTGCTAGTGAGTGAAAAAAATCAGCCACAATAGCAAATCATGTAAATTTTTTTGGTTTCATAGCTAGTGGAACAAACTATCACTGCACGCCTCATACGCACATAACATACAAACACCATATCACATAAACTTTTTTCTTTATAAAGCAGCTCTATCGAACGCAGAACTACTTACATGCAATTTTATACTTATAATTAAACTTTCATGCCCCA